GACCTCCCTATTCGAACGTATCTGGAACGAAGAGAGTGTGCCGACTAATTGGAGCGAATCGATTATAGTGGCAATATACAAGAAGGGCAGTCGCACAGACTGTGCGAACCACAGGGGTATTAGCCTAACGCCAGTTGTGACAAAATTACTGGCCTCGATTATCGTTCGTCGCCTCACTGCAGAACGGGAATCTCGGATTAGAGAAGAGCAGGCCGGTTTTCGCCCAGGGCGTGGCTGTATAGACCATATATTTACTTTGCGGCAGGTGCTAGAGCAGCGCCACGCATACCGCAGACCGACAATAGCTGTGTTCCTCGATTTCAAGAGTGCGTTCGATTCAGTCGATCGATCGATTCTGTTCGAAATACTTGCGCGAAAAGGTGTTCCCACGAAATATGTGAACATCCTTCGTGCTCTATACTCGAACACTAGAGGCCGCGTCAGGGTCTATGGTGCCCTATCGGATAGCTTTTCGACTACAAGTGGCGTTCGACAGGGTTGCCCGATTTCCCCATTTTTGTTCAATTTCGTCGTGGATTCTATCATGGAGTGTTCCCTTGCGGAATCTCACGATGTAGGTGTTGAAGTACTGCCTGGTGAAAGGTTAGTTGATCTAGATTATGCGGACGATATCGTCTTGCTTTTCGACAATGTTGAGGCGGCACAGTCAACCCTGAATAGCCTATCCAGAGTGGTTCCATTATTTGGTATGCACTTCGCACCTTCGAAGTGCAAAGTGTTGCTGCAGGACCACCAGCCACTTGATGACCCCTTGACGCTTGCTAACGAGGAACTCGAGGTGGTTGATCGATTCACTTACCTTGGCAGCTGTATCAGCAATGATGGGCGCATAGAAACTGAAGTCAGTTCACGCATTGCAAAAGCTAGAACTGCCTTCTTGAATCTGCGATATCTTTGGCGACAGAAGGGAGTTTCCCTCCGTCTGAAAGGCTGGGTATACAAGGTCACAGTGAGGGCCGTTCTGCTGTATGGTAGTGAAACTTGGCCGCTTCGGTCTGAAGATCTGAGGCGCCTTCAAGTCTTTGATCATCGTTGTTTGCGAAGCATTGCTGGTGTCGGATGGCACCAGCGTGTCCGCAACGATGATGTGCGGTAGGCGAGTACTAGGTGGTGATGATCATGCTAGCTCCCTAGAACAACAGATAGCACTGAATAAGTTGCGTTGGCTCGGGCACGTGCTACGCATGCCTGGTCACCGCTTACCTAGGAGGGCCTTGTTCAGTCTACCAGGTGTCGGATGGCACAAGGCTCGAGGTGGACAGAAGTTGACTTGGCAGCGGGAAAGGAAGTCACTGACGACCAAACTGGGTGCCGTTGGTCCGTCTCGTGTTCTGGGTTGGAGTCCGCGTGACTCGCCTTATGCTTTCTCGTGACTTTACAGGACATGGGTCATAACCGGCACCAGTAGCGCGTCTGCTGCCGTCTCCTAATTGGATTGCCTGTTTAAAGTGTGTTTGGTGCTGAGTTATCTGCGGGTAATGGCTGATTATGACGCGTGGCAGTGAAAGCCGCAAGGAAGCTGTCTCGCCGATGCCGCCTTATCTTTGCACGATAGCCAGCTGTTTGTGACGGTATGTTGTTAACACAAGGTGTAGGCGCCTTGACCCTGAATGTTTGCTTAGGGCATTAAGGTTTTCAGGTAAGTCCCCCTTATCTCCCTCTTATTCTTTATTTCATAGGTCCTCATGGTTGTATGGCAGCGAAGCATCAGTTCGAATGGCTGATGTACTGCTGTTGATGATGATGATGATGATGATGAAGGTCACCCGATGAATCTGACCATAATCTCTGTCTGCGCACCAACCCTACCCTCAGCGGAAAGAGTCAAAGACGACTTTTACGATACTCTACAGACAGTGGTGAACCATGTTCCAAAACGCGACATCCTCATTATTGCTGGGGACTGGAATGCACGAACCGGGCCTAGGAACGATCAGACCCGTCATATACTCGGGAGATACGCCCTTGGAGAGTGCTATGCTGATGGAGACCGCTTACTCAACTTCGCTGACCTTAACCGGTTGTGCATAACCAATACTCGCTTTCAGTATCCCAGAAAGCATCCCCTGTCGTGGTACTTCAACAATGGTCGTACAGCAAGCCTGGTAGATTACCTCTTAATCCGATCCTGGTGGATGTCCTCCATCAATGACTGTCGAGCGTACAGAGGGGCTGAAACGGGCAATAAAGGTGGTTCGCACCACGTACTTCTGCGCGCCAAATTCAGACTCTGCTTGACAACGCGCCGAAAAACTCTTCCACCAAAGCGTATCAACACTGCCGCACTGGAAAACTCTGACTACTGTCAATCCCTTGAAGCAGCAATAAAACAGAAATTCCTGTCAGTGCACCACACCTCGTATTTGCAGAAGATGAATCTGTCGACGCTTGTTGGTCTAGGCTAAAATCCTCAGTTCAACGCGCAGCTTTGTCTACCCTGAGCTCTACCTCTAAGCCTGCGAAGCACTGGATCACTGAAGATACTATCCGCTTGTCCGCTAAAGCGAGAGTAGCACGTCTCACGAATTCCCCAGACTACCGTCACTTGAGTCTTGAAGCAACCCGCTCAGCGCGGCATGATCGCAACCAGTACAGGTCTGTTATCACAGGTAACTTGGAAGCTGCATCAAAT